GTTGATGCTCAGCCCCTGAGCCCGGCTGTGTGCCCTTGACTGGAATTGAACCAGGGACCTTTCAATCTGCAGGCCGATGTGCTATCCACCGAGACAAACCAGCTAGGGTGGCTATGAACTTCTAAATTAAAAAACGAATAAGAGAAAACATTAATATGAAATTTATAGAAAATCAAAGCTAGTAGAATAGCATCACCGATTGATGGCCGGGCTAAATCTTGCAACGTAAAGCATCCATTAAGTCTCTGTTTAATTCTCTAGGGGAGTTTTATTTTTCTAAACTGAGACATAGTTTTATTTTTCTAAACACCACACCACACATCCAGCCGAATGATTTCAACTCAGACACAGCTGAGAATTTAGGGTGCCCCAACAATAGTGTTCGTTTGTAGGAGGAGTAAGACGCCTTCCGCAGAGTCTGGGATTGGAGATAGCATGAAGTCCCAATCTGTCTGCGCTGTTAGAAGCAGGCTCCATATCTATTTCTAGCTTTCGCATAACTTATTAATATCTGTAGAAATCTCCTGACTTGCTTAGTGTGAACAATATAATACTAGGTCAGAGAAAAGCATACGATCACCTCCTTTTTATATAACTTAAAATTCCCCCCCCCCCCCAAAGGAAGAAAAAGAAAATAATTTTCTTATCAACTAAAGATCAGAAGTTAGATTTTTAAATTATTTATTTATTTATTAAAATATATTATTATTGATTTCAGAGAGGAAAAGAGAGGGATAGAGAGATAGAAACATCCAGGATGAGAAAGAATCATTGATCGGCTGCCTCTTGCACGCCCCCTCCTGGGGATGGAGCCTGCAACCTGGGCCTGTGCCCTGACCGGGAATCGAACCCTGACCTCCTGGTTCCTAGGTTGATGCTCAGCCCCTGAGCCACGTGGCCGGCTCTGCGTTGGGTTCTACCCTGAGTGCTGCAGGGCGGAAGCAGAAGGGCAGATTGTGAGGACAGAGTCATGGGGAGAAGAGGGCAGAGCAGCTGCCAGCCTGGGGGGGGGTTCTTTGTTGGCCACACCCGTGATTTTGTCTTTTTCTAGTCGCTCCTGGGAACCGCCTTGACCGCGAGCAGGGGCATTCAGCTCAGCCTTGGGTAGAAACTCCGAGATTCAGTGCTCTCTGAGTTTCGTAACTTCCAGACTGGATTATGTAAGCGGTCGTGGTTTTGACGTCCTCTCTGGGACTGTAGGAAGGAAAGCGTTGACAGCACACCAGGAAGGGAGGCTCTGCGGCTGCCCCGGCCCCCAGCGCGGTGCTGGTCGGTGCAGATTGCCTGCTTATCGCGTCTTTGATTTGGGAAGATGGCTTGCTCTGTCTGACGCATCAGCTGCCATTCCCACGTGGGGAAGCGAGAGGTACAGTTTCCAAGTAATAACAGGGTTTTATTCATTTTTCCAAACGGCACTGTGCAAACGATGTCTTCTCAATTCTGCCCGTAAATCTCTCACTTGGCAGTTAGCACAGCCTCTCCTCAAAAGTTGGCTTAGGAAAGGCAGGAAATGAAGTGCTTTTTTCTTCCTGAATTGTTTAATTGAAGTGCAAAGAACTGTAGGGTTATGGTGCTTTGGACTAGTTTTCCAATTCAAGAAAGCTTCCTTCCTGATACGTGTTCGTCGTATTCGCTTGTTCGTGTTCAGCCGTGAGCAGTAGGAGGACATTCTGTGATTCGGTTCACTTCACCGTGAGCCATAAGAGAGCCCTGCTCTGCTCCGCTCCCCGTCCTCAGACGGCCCAACCTGATGCGAAACCAAAGATTTCTGACGGACGTCTCCCAAATGTGTTTTCATTAAAGGGACAGACACGTTGTCTGCATCACGGGCAGCGCTGACAGACCCTCTGATTTAAGGTGCTTTTTAAGAATCTTTCCCCTTCAGACTGTACAGGGTAGCAGGACTCTTTCCCTGCCCCTCTCCTGGGCGGACAGAAATGGTCAGACGTGATTTCTGCCCGCGGGAAGCAGCCAGTTGAGTGAAGGAGTCCAGTGTAGGCGGATCCCCAGGGGCAGGTTTTGGGGCGGTGGCTGACCTCGCTCGGGGGCATGAATGGGGTGCGGGGTTCAGTTCACCTCGTGGCGGAGAGGAAGGGCAGACCCCGCAGTTTCCTTTATAAGATCCAGCACGTCCTCCAGGTGCTGCCTGGGGAGCCGGTGGGACATGGGTGGTGTTTGCCATTGAGAATATTGGTGAGGTTTTCCAGGAAAAGAGTCTAAAAGACGGAGATGAATGAACTGACGCTAGAATTCCGGGACAAGAAAGCAACCTCCACGGGACAGGGGTTGACGAAGAGCCTTCTAAGACGATGGGTTTGGCGCTCTGGACTGCAACTCACTAGGCTGTGAAATCAGCATAGTGGATGGGACATTAATAAGTTGCTTATAGACAGAATAAAAAAAAAACACATTAGCAGAGAACAGGAAATATCGGTGTGTAGGTAGTAGAGGTCATCACGGTTTTGTGAAAGAAGTTATGAATAAAAAACAACCTTTTAGCTTTGCCACTGGTTAGCTATGAAGTAAAAACAGTAACCAAGATTTTCAGCTGTTTGACTGGGAAGATGGTAAATAGAATGTGACAAAATAAGGAAGAAACCTTTTATTTTTTGGTAGGAAATGAAAATTAAAAAAAAATGTTTTCAGAAAGATCAATTAGGTTGTAATTTCAAAGACACAAGTCATATTTCAGAGTCACATATTCCCTCAGAAGCATCATATTCTTAGACATAAGCAGTAGTTTAACAAAATCTGTTGACTACATTGCACATTTTTATGTGATTGGTTTCTCATAGGTAGATGGACTGAATGATTTCAAAGGCTCTTTCCAGCTCTACTGTTTTTTAAATATAAATCAAGTCAATAAATAGTGCAGTAGAACAACGAGATCTAAAACTCAAGGACAGAAGTTGCCTTTGAGGTGGACACGGAAAACCGGGGGTCAGACACACGGTGGTGGTGATCCCCCGCCCCCACACCCCGAATTTCTCGTGGTGCCCCATCTGCTTTGTAGAAACTGCCGCTGATCCGGGAGTTGTCAGGACAGAGACGGGCACTCTGCCCGGGGACAGGTCTTCCTGGTGTCCATGCCGGCGCTCTGGGTGTGCCGTCCTCTCCCGCTGCCACCGTCGGCGAAGGGAGCGCCTCGGTGGAGGGTTGGCACCTTCCCCCCCGGAAGTGGGTGCTCCCCCTCCTGATGGCTGACAGCCCAGAGGAGTCCCTGGGGAAGCTCCCTGGCGTGCCTGTGTCTGCCTCCCCATGTCCCCGTGTCCCCGTGTCCCCGTGCCTGTGTCTGCCTCCCCGTGTCCCCGTGTCCCCGTGTCCCCGTGTCCCCGTGCCTGTGTCTGCCTCCCCGTGTCCCCGTGTCCCCGTGCCTGTGTCTGCCTCCCCGTGTCCCCGTGTCCCCGTGTCCATGTCTGCCTCCCCGTGTCCCCGTGTCCCCATGTCCCCGTGCCTGTGTCTGCCTCCCCGTGTCCCCGTGTCCGTGTCTGCCTCCCCGTGTCCCCGTGTCCCCGTGTCCATGTCTGCCTCCCTGTGTCCCCGTGTCCCCATGTCCCCGTGCCTGTGTCTGCCTCCCCGTGTCCCCGTGCCTGTGTCTGCCTCCCCGTGTCCCCGTGTCCCCGTGTCCATGTCTGCCTCCCTGTGTCCCCGTGTCCCCATGTCCCCGTGCCTGTGTCTGCCTCCCCGTGTCCCCGTGTCCGTGTCTGCCTCCCCGTGTCCCCGTGTCCCCGTACCTGTGTCTGCCTCTCCGTGTCCCCGTGTCCCCGTGTCCCCGTGCCTGTGTCTGCCTCCCCGTGTCCCCGTGCCTGTGTCTGCCTCCCCGTGTCCCCGTGTCCCCGTGCCTGTGTCTGCCTCCCCGTGTCCCCGTGTCCCCGTGTCCCCGTGCCTGTGTCTGCCTCCCCGTGTCCCCGTGTCCCCGTGTCCCCGTGTCCCCGTGCCTGTGTCTGCCTCCCCGTGTCCCCATGTCCCCATGTCCCCGTGTCCCCGTGCCTGTGTCTGCCTCCCCGTGTCCCCGTGTCCCCGTGCCTGTGTCTGCCTCCCCGTGTCCCCGTGTCCCCGCAAGCGGCGTGGGTCGTCTGAGGCCACTCTTCTCCCAGGAGCAGTGCCGCTGCCGCGGGGGCCTGGCTCCCGCCTGGATCTTCCCTCGGGGGCGGACCCTCTTCTTCCTCCTGCCCCCCTCCCGGCCTCCTGCAGGCTTCCCAGCCCCTCTCCGGCGCCCAGGAGACATGGGCGCTCCCACACCCCTTCCCAGGCCCTGGGGGAGGTGTCTTCCTCCTGGCTCCCCGGGAAGAATCCCGACGAGCCTCCTGGAAACCCTCGTTCGCAGCTGTGTGAGAGCAGCGCTGTGCCCACAGCAGCTGTGCTGGGGATGTTTTCTTTTAAAAACTATATATATATATATATTTTTTTTTTTTTTTTTTTTTTTTTTACAGAGGAAGGGAGAGGAATAGAGAGATAGAAACATCGACCAGCTGCCTCCTGCACACCCCCTACCAGGGATGTGCCTGCAACCAATGTACACGCCCTTGGCCGGAATTGAACTCAGGACCCTTCAGTCCTCAGACCGACGCTCTATCCACTGAGCCAAACCGGTTTCGGCTGTTTTCTTAAAAAAAAACACAAAACAAAACAAAAAAAAACTAACTAAATAAATAAATATAAATATATATATATATATTTTATATATATATATATATATATATATATATATATAAAATATATATATATAATTGATTTTTTATGGAGAAGAAAGGGAGAGGGATAGAGAGTTAGAAACATTGACCAGCTGCCTTGCACGCCCCTTACCGGGAATGTGCCCCCAACGAAGGTACATGCCCTTGACCAGAATCGAACCCAGGACCCTGGAGTCCGCAGGCCGACGCTCTGTCCGCTGAGCCACACCGGCCAGGGCTAGGGACGTTTTCCTGCCCCGCACAGAGCCAGACGTGCGGGGCTGCGGGGGCGGGGACTCCAGTGACGGCCGTCTCTCTCGTCTCCAGCCCTCGCTGAACCCCGGAGGCAGCCACTCGTCCGACGTGGTGCTGCTGAACCACTGGAAGGTGCGGAACCTGGAGGTGCGCCGCGGGGACATCGTGTCGCTGGTGTGAGTACGGGCGGGCCGCGGGCGCCGGTGGCACGGAGGGTCCGAGAGGTCCGTCCTGGAACGGGGCCGGCCCTCCGAAAGGGCTTTTCTCCCAGGTCTAAAACGCACCCGTGGCTGGCCTGCCTGGGTTTGGTAAAACGCACCCGTGGCTGGCCTGCCTGGGTTTGGTAAAACGCACCCGTGGCTGGCCTGCCTGGGTTTGGTAAGACGCGTCTAATGACGTGTTGGTTGGCGGTGGTTATATTGGAGACTTAGCGTGCCTGTGCCTGGTGTTAGTTTGAGTTATTGAACATTCTGCTGCTCCCGTTTCCATCATGTGTGTAGGGACAGGCCTTTCTAGGACAGGACCGTGTGCGGGAGGTCAGCGGGGGAAGGTCAGCGAGGGAAGGTCAGCGGGGGAAGGTCAGCGGGGGAAGGTCAGCGGGGGAAGGTCAGCGGGGGAAGGTCAGCGGGGGGGAGGTCAGCGGGGGAAGGTCAGCGGGGGAAGGTCAGCGGGGGGGAGGTCAGCGGGGGAAGGTCAGCGGGGGGAGGTCAGCGGGGGAAGGTCAGCGGGGGAAGGTCAGCGGCGGGAAGGTCAGCGGGGGAAGGTCAGCGGGGGAAGGTCAGCGGGGGGAAGGTCAGCGGGGGGAAGGTCAGTGGGGGGAAGGTCAGCGGGGGAAGGTCAGCGGGGGAAGGTCAGCGGGGGAAGGTCAGCGGCGGGAAGGTCAGCGGGGGGGAGGTCAGCGGGGGAAGGTCAGCGGGGGAAGGTCAGCGGGGGGGAGGTCAGCGGGGGAAGGTCAGCGGGGGAAGGTCAGCGGGGGAAGGTCAGCGGGGGAAGGTCAGCGGGCGGGAGGTCAGCGGGGGAAGGTCAGCGGGGGAAGGTCAGCGGGGGAAGGTCAGTTGGGGGAAGGTCATTGGGGGGAGGTCAGCGGGGGAAGGTCAGCGGGGGGAGGTCAGCGGGGGGAGGTCAGCGGGGGGAGGTCAGCGGGGGAAGGTCAGCGGGGGAAGGTCAGCGGGGGAAGGTCAGCGGGGGAGGTCAGCGGGGGAAGGTCAGCGGGGGAAGGTCAGCGGGGGGAAGGTCAGCGGGGGGGAGGTCAGCGGGGGGGAGGTCAGCGGGGGAAGGTCAGCGGGGGAAGGTCAGCGGGGGGAGGTCAGCGGGGAAGGTCAGTGGTGGTCTGTGGGGATTTAGCTGGAAAAGGAGGTCCCGGAGGCCGCAGTGGAGGCTTTTGCGTGGGACCAAAAGGTGGCGCTGTTTCCCTGCGGAAGGAGGACAGCGGCCAGGAGCTTCCTTCCCCCCTCCGTCCGGGGAAGGGAAGGCGTGGACCTGTGTGTGAGCGGCACAGGCTGTCACCCCCGGCCCCAAACGGGGTGTCACACTGGCCCGCACAGGGAGTCACCCCCGGCCCCGCATGGGGGTCACCCCTGGCCCCGCACAGGGGGTCACACTGGCCCCGCATGGGGGTCACACTGGCCCCCACAGGGGGTCACTCCCGGCCTCGCACAGGGGGTCACCCCTGGCCCCAAACGGGGTGTCACACTGGCCCCCACAGGGCGTCACTCCCGGCCCCGCACAGGGGGTCACCCCTGGCCCCGCACGGGGTGTCACACTGGCCCCCACAGGGGGTCACACTGGCCCGCACGGGGGTCACACTGGCCCGCACGGGGTGTCACACTGGCCCGCATGGGGGGTCACACACTGGCCCGCACAGGGGGTCACTCCCGGCCCCGCACAGGGGGTCACACTGGCCCGCACAGGGGGTCACACTGGCCCGCATGGGGGGTCACACACTGGCCCGCACAGGGGGTCACACTGGCCCGCACAGGGGGTCACACTGGCCCGCACAGGGGGTCACACTGGCCCGCACGGGGGGTCACACTGGCCCGCACAGGGGGTCACCCCTGGCCCCGCACGGGGTGTCACACTTGCCCGCACAGGGGGTCACCCCTGGCCCCAAACGGGGTGTCACACTGGCCCGCACAGGGGGTCACCCCTGGCCCCGCACGGGGTGTCACACTGGCCCCCACAGGGGGTCACACTGGCCCGCACGGGGGTCACACTGGCCCGCACAGGGGGTCACACTGGCCCGCACGGGGGTCACACTGGCCCGCACAGGGGGTCACACTGGCCCCCACAGGGGGTCACACTGGCCCGCACGGGGGGTCACACTGGCCCGCACGGGGGGTCACACTGGCCCGCACGGGGGGTCACACTGGCCCGCACAGGGGGTCACACTGGCCCGCACAGGGGGTCACACTGGCCCGCACAGGGGGTCACACTGGCCCGCACAGGGGGTCACACTGGCCCGCACAGGGGGTCACACTGGCCCGCACAGGGGGTCACCCCTGGCCCCGCACAGGGGGTCACCCCTGGCCCCAAACGGGGTGTCACACTGGCCCGCACGGGGGGTCACACTGGCCCGCACGGGGGGTCACCCCTGGCCCCGCACAGGGGGTCACCCCTGGCCCCGCACGGGGTGTCACACTGGCCTGCACAGGGGGTCACACTGGCCCGCACAGGGGGTCACACTGGCCCCAAACGGGGTGTCACACCTGACCGCGCACTTGCGGGGCGGGTGAGATGCCTCTGACAAGGGGATTTGACCAGGTGAGGGGGAACATGGCTCCTGGAAGTCCAGGGTGGCTCATAAAATCACCGGCTTCTCATCGCCGGCGGAGGGGAAGGAGAAGTGAGACTGCTCTTCTGTGAAACAGTAAAGCAGTGGGCATTTATTATATAAATTAATTCCAGGAACAGTGCATTCCAACCGAGGTTGGTGTGATGAACGAGCTTCTCTGGTTGAACTGTATTCTAATGAGTTAATTATGGCCGTATCTGTCTTGTGCAAATAACAGATTTTCCTTCATCATGCTTGTTGCTAGCAGGACCTATAATACTTGGAACAATGCTTAGTAATGGGAGTTGTATTATTTAACAACAGATAATTAAGTAGTGAGTGTGGCTTTCCACACCCTTCAGCATGATGCAGTACCACAAAAGATACCATTTAGCCTGGCCACGTGGCTCAGAGGTGGAGCATCGGCCTATGAGCTGGGAGGTCACAGTTCGGTTCCCGATCAGGGCACAGGCCCGGGGTGCGGGCTTGATCCCCAGTGTGGGGCGTGCAGGAGGCAGCTGATCCATAATTCTCTCTCTTTGTGGATGCTTCTCTCTCTCTTCTTCCCTTTTCTCTGAATCAATAAAAATATATTAAAAAAGATACCATTTAAAGTATCTAGTTTTGTGAGCAAAAGTGCTTTCTAAGCATGTCTTTATATGTTTACATATTTCAGGGACTGCTTCATTTGAAAAGATTGACATTGGTTTGATTAGTGTTCATATATACATTTAATTACCTTCAAAAAACAGGGACTACTTGCTTTTTTAACAAAGTACATGAACCTGGTTTTAACTTAGAGGATTGTCAGCACTGCATTAGCATGTCCTAAGAAATGTGTGACCAATCCAGGCATGCATGACTAAACATTGAATTTATGGCTAAATATAAAATGTATAAAATACAAATTGATATCAAGAACACATTTCGTTGGTATGTAAGTAATCTTTGGAAACAAGATATTATGACAATTTATATTTTAAATCATCCTGGGACATCGTTGTATTATTCAGAGTATCTGGAGCATTTCTTCCATATTATTATACGTGCAATTCTCGGAAACCTTTCAGACTGCGAATCCATGCTCACAGCAGGAGGGCTCACGCAACTTTGTAAGCGGACGCTAATGAGGAGAATAACGGTGCCATTAAAATGCTGGCCCTTTAGCCGGCACCGGAGATCTCTGACCGGGACCTGCTGCCAGGAACGTGGGCTTTCCCCTCAAACAGGAGGTGCGGGCGGCTGCTGGAGGGGACACAGCCAGGGGGAGGCTCTCCGTGCAGGCGCCTGTGTTACTTTGTGTGCACACACACACACCCCTACACACACATATACACCACACACACACCCACACACCACCCCCACATCACACACTACACATACACACCACACACTACACATACACATCACACACCACACACCACACATACACATCATACCCCCCCACCCCCCCCACACACCACACATACACATCACACACCACACACCACACATACACATCACACACCACACACACACACATCACATACACACCACACACCACACATACACATCACACACCACACTCACACACACCACATACATACCCCCAGCGGGGTCCCCAGGCAGGTCTCCTGGTTTCTCCATAGCAGGAGCCCCGTCCAGGCGGTTCAGTTCCTGAGCAGTAAGTGTGAACTTCTGCTTCCTCTCTCAATACGCCTTCTGCACGTGGGAGCAGTGCGGACAGGGTCTCGGTGCAGGTGGGCAGCGTGGCGGGCTCTCACCGGACAGCGGCGGGCCCCCGAGGTAGTTCTAAGGGAGCCAGCAGGCCCAGTGGGCGGGGAAAGGACGGCTTTAACTGTTCCCTGTCTCTCCGTGTCTGTGCAGCTGGCTGCCTCCTGGCCTCTGGATTTTTCTAGCGTCTCTCAGCTGGGCGAGGTGCTCCATAATGCATCCTGTTTCTTCACCAGCCACATCCTACTCACCTCCTGAGCGGGCGGGGTCCCCGGACAGGGAGCTGGGAGGAAGGACACACAGGAGCTGGAGGGGTTACTTCTGAGAGGCCTTGGGGAAACTAAAGGTGCCAGGGCGGGGGGGTTCTGCCTCTCTCCCCCAAGCGTTTGCTTAACATCTGTTTGCTTGATTTGCTAGAAAACCAGAGGCCATACACAGCAATGAGTCAATTGTCGACAGGAATACTGTTTGTATCAATAAGGAAGTTTTGCCCTTTTCTCAAAAAGAAAGCAAGGTGACAGCCAACCATCACCCTTAAACGATAATTAACCTTCCCATCTCCGGAATTTCCAGCGAGTCCGGACTCGAACTCTGGGTCCAGCGTTGGTTTTTTGGCGTCAGCCTCGGTCGCCATTGAGAATGTATTCTCCCAAACCAGCTGCATTGCGCAGACCTGTGCGTGAGCAGCGTGAC